TGTTATATATTATATAATTATAATATGTATTGCCAGAGAATTCTTTTGAATGGGCTGCTTGAAACATAAATGCAAAAATGCAAAAACTAGGATAACAAAAACAAAAACAAATGTTGGTGAGGATGTGGGGAAAATGGAACCCTTATCCATTGCTAGTGGGAATGCAAAATGGTACAGCCATTGTGGAAAACAATGTGGCAGTTCCTCAAAAACCTAAAAATAGAAGTACCATATGACCCAGCAATTCCACTCCTAGGTATGTACTTAAAAGACTTGAAAGGAGAGATTCACACAGACACTTGTACACCAATGTTCATTGCAACATTATTTACTATAACCAAAGATAGAAACTCTGTAAATGCCCATCAACAGATAATGGATAAACAAAATGTGGTACATACATACAATGGAATACTACTCAGCCAGTAGGAAAAATTAAGTCTTTATACATCCTACCATATGGCTGGAGCTTGAAGATATTATCTGAGCAAAAGAAAGCAATCACAAAGGGACAAATACTGTGTGATTTCACTTATATAAAAAGACAAGAAAAGGCAAATGTATAGAGAAAGTTTATTAGTGGTTACCAGGGGTGAGAGGGAGGGGAAAACGGGAGTTTACAGTGATGTAAAAATCTTACTGATTAAGGATAGGGTCGCATAGCCAGTTATTGTAATGGTTGTCAATAAGTTGTATACCTATAAAAAAACTGAACTGGCAAAAGTTGTATGATAGATATATTTACAATGACCAACAACAACAACAAAAAAGAGTAGCTGCTGAGACTGCTTATGTACAAGCACACATATCATGGGATTTGGCTCCTTGGTTTGGAGGTTTAGGGTCATGGTTTCATAGGACATCCAAGTTAATTGACCTAATAACATGTTTAGTGCTTCTTTTCTACCTCATTGTGTAGTGCCTGGCATCTTAAAAGCTTGCAAATGGCCAGTCAAGGCACAAGAATGGATCAGTTCACCTGGAGCAACAGAGAGGAAGAAGGAGGAGAATATAGAATGTGTGGCTAATTGCCTCCTATGCCATGAGACCAGTTACCATTACTGAACATTTTAAGCAAAGATTCCATAGAAGAATCCTGATCAAAAGGGGGAAAAATGGAGAACAGAATTTTCTATTCTAATAGACTCTAGAATTTCTAGAGCCATGGAGGGTAGATGAACCCCTGAAACGATTGCCCTGAGATACTTTTTAAACCTTAAACCAAAAACATCCCCTGAAGTCATTCTAAAAGTGAACAATAGTTTATCTTACCCAGTAAAAAAGGTCTGCCTTGAGCATTATGCAATTTTAAGATCTACATGACATCAAACTGACAACAGCAACTTGAAAGATTACATAGGAACCTCAGTTTATATTAATGAGGGAGCAATAACTCAGAGAAGGAGGGTGAGAATGGTTGCATAACTCAGACAATGTATCAATGTCACTAAATGGTACATGCAGAAAGTGCTGAATTGGTGCTTTGCTATGTATAGTCTCAACAACAACAAAATAAGTAACATTTAGGGAATTTTTTTTTTTTTTTAAATGCAACCACTAGGTCTTTTAGTGTTTTTCTCTTGACTAGAGGCTTCCTTTTCTTATCTCTTCTTGTCTCTTCCTTTAGCACTCCACCTAATGTCTGATCACCCAATAAGAAAGGTAAGCACGGGCTTACTTGTGCTTACTTACTAATTCACAGTGAACGATTTCACATTTTTTCACTGCATCAAAGATTCTGCTTCCAGGGATGGCTAGCATCTGTCTCTCCCAATCCCACAGCACCTTCCTCCAGAATCAAATCATCTTTTCAAATTTATAATCACTGACAGGGATGAGAGCACCCACTAAGCAAGATAAACATGGGCTTACTTGTACTTACTTGTTCACTGCAGATTAGTAAGTAAGCACAAGTAAGCCTGTGCTTATCACGTGAGGTAGTTAAGGTTATGTGTCAACATGTCTGGGCCTGGTTGAGTGGGTGAGCAGCTGGATATTGTTATTGATATCCATGGATATTCATAGTCATGGATATTCCCCATGACGAGACTGGTAATCAACTCCATGGTGGAATCTAGTAGAGAAGGTGAGTAGCTGCCTTAGGGAAGTGGTCTGCTTCCAGCATATAATGAAAAGCCTTGAGAAACTTCTCTGAGCTTTTGGGCACACTTGGACCCTACATGTAATTGAGTCTTCATTCAGCAACCTGCCATGCCCTGCCAATCTTGAGATTTTTCTGGACTTGAACTAGTGGCCTACAGTGTTGTCTGATAATCTTGGGACTATGCCTTTTTACTTGTCAACCATGGGTTTGCCAGCCTCAGCAGACAGCAGTTGCCTGGGCTGGGAGCAAGAGGCAGAACTGAAGCCTAAGGTCAAAGGGTTTTCACCCAGCCCCTACAGCTGGCACTTTGCAGTAAGAGAATAAATCCATTTGTTAAAGTCTCCCATTTGCTGTATTTCTGTTAGAGCAGCAGTAGGAAACCAAAACACCATACTTATTGGGTAATTCGCCCCTGACTCCATCCTACCCTTCAACCACTTTCAGACTTTAATATCTGAAAGAAATATTCTTTTTGCTACAAGTCCTTTCCCAGGAGGAAGCATTATCTTGAGTACCTTGCATCATCTGACCATTTTAACCCTTAAAGAACTAGTGGAACATTTACTTTCTGGTTTCAATTTTCTGTACCACATCTTAGCGATTTGCTTGTTTGTTTAATGCAAGCATACGATTTCAATAAAGAGACTCTTTTTCCAGAAAATGCAAAAGGTGAGTTCTAGTGACCAAGAGGTAAATAACTTACTTCCAGAAGTTTAATCTTCCACCATTGTTGGCATCACTTAGAATAGTGCTCATTCCACCTTGAACAACTGAAGCACGTATAATCACAGATGCAAATCCAGCCACCATAATCCCAACTTGAAAAACATCTGTCCAGATGACTGCTTTAAGACCACCCTTTGAGGGAAAAGCATATTAGGATTAAGGTTTCTGTCAGATATTATTGATATGTGTATGTTAGTCACTGTGCTGGACAAAAATGACAAAAGCATGGAACTTGGCCCCAAAGTGCACACGAAGGAGATAATCAGGTCAGGAGAACCTTCACAGAGAAGGTAATATTTAAACTAAGCCTTCAAACATAAGAAGAGTTAAAGAGGCAGAGGAAACAGCATGGACAAAAGCATAGAAAAGCCAAAGTGCATGGCATGTTGAGTGTGGCCAGATACATAATGTGGAGTGGAGTGGAGTGGTGTGGAGAGTTGGTTGGGAAGAAAATTCAAAGTCAAATCTCAAAAGGCAATATCCATGGATTTTATTCTACAGGCAGGGCTGATAGTTGACCAGCGTGTACCAGAATGGTCATACCCACTGTTATAACACTAAAATTGTCTTGTATTACCCCAAACTCCTCAAGTGTCCCCAGAAAACCCCTATAAACCCAATTAAGCCAGGCCCTCTCTGAGGACCTCACCTTCTATGGGATCCAGCAATTAAAAGGTGAAGTCCTAGAATATCAGGAACCTCATAAGACCTGCACCAATGCTAATGACAAACACCCATGATAATAGTAGCCATATAATACAAGTTGCATATTTTGACTGTCATTCCTGCTAATAGTTAATGGGAAGTTCTTATAGAAATGGAGAGTTATTATAGGTCTCTACGATGGGAAAAAAGGAGCACTGGTGATGCAGTGCCTAAAGCGTTTGACTGCAAACCAGAAAGTTGGCCATTCAAACCCACCAGGCACTCCATGGCAGGAAAATGGGGCAATCTAGTTCTGCAAAGATTTACCACCTTGGAAACCCAGTGGGGGTTGCTATGAGTTGGAATCAACTCAATGGTAGTGAATTTAGTTTAGTTTGGTTTAAGATGAGAAATAATATGTGCACAGCTATAATAACTTGGCAAAAGCAAGAATGAATCAGAAAGAGATCAGATTAGGTGAAATCACAATGATTCAGGTGATTGGAAAAAAAAAGAAACAGTTATGATCAATGTTCTATTGAAGATAAATTTTACCCCAGATCAAGTATTCCTTATAAAAAAGTTATACTGTGGGAGGTTAGGTATGAACTGAAGAGTCTGTAGCATCCAACTATGGGAACTTTTAATTTTGCAGAGCAAGTGGTTAGAGTGAAAGGAGCAATAACGTTCTTGACATACCATTGTACAGTAGAATGTGCAGACCACCCCTGTTGCCACAACCGCACCCCATAGATCGAACCCGGTGACTGTAGGAAAAAAGAGGATGCAGGTGTAACTGTGAAACATGCACAATAAAAGTACTTTGCAAAAATTTTTCAGGGGCAAAGCTATAGCAATTATTTGGCATCAACAACTATATCCTCTTGCCTAAAAGTAGGTCCGTATCTCGTAAAATACCACAAAACAAATGGAGTTTACAATTGTATTTGATGAGTTAAACACACATGGTTTCTACCCTTAGACACCATACACAGGTCCAACATTGGCTACATTAAATACATGAAAAGGCATTTATATTATTATTAAGCTAAGAAATGACTTGGTAGTGTGAGGTAGTTGTCCAGACCAGATGAGGTAAAGGACATGTGTTCAAATACACATACTATTATTCTACCAATCCTTGAAAGACCAGTTTTGCATGTTATAAGACAGGACCTTGATGGAGAAAAGCCTGTATAGTTTGCTACCATTTATCTAACAAATGGAGGGGGATATTATGTTTCTTAAAATGGACGACTAAACTGAAAACAGAGAAGGAAGGGGTCAATAATATAAGTTAGATTTCTCTAAATCTATCTCGTTTTGTATATTTGACTTTGGAACCATTTAAATATTCTAAATAATTCTGATAAATTACATTTTTAAACAACTCCTAAAAAGTACAATGAAATAAATAAATTTAACTGTACATTGTTTGTGACATAGCCACACAAAGAGAAATTATTTCAAAAAACTTTAAAATGCAATTTAACATACATCCCTAGTGGGCTATACCATGAGGAAAAAAAGAACTGCAAAAGAAAAAAGTTTTATTGATTTGGGCCATTACATAACAATGCTGTAACAATACAGGTATACCTCGTTTTATTGTGCTTCACTTTAGTGCACTGCACAGATACCGCATTTTTCGTAAATTGAAGGTTTGTGGCAACCTGCATCAGGCAAGTCTATGGCGCCATTTCTCCAACAGCAAGTGCTCATTTTGTGTCTCTGTGTTACATTTTGTTCATTCTCCCAATAATTCAAACTTTTTCATAATGCTATTGCACACTCAACAGCCCACAGCATAGTGTGAACGTAACTTTTATATGCACTAGGAAAACAGAAAATTCATGTGACTCACTGGAACCAAACCCACAATATCTCCAAGGTATGCCTGTATGGAAGTTGTCATTCTGAAACTATTACATCAATGGTTGACTGTGTATTAAAATCACCAAGAGGCTTTTGAAAATCCTGATGAGCAGACCACACAATGGCCAATGAAACCAGAATCACAAGAGGCAGGATCCAGTGTTTGATAACTCCCCAAGTGAGCCTGATGTGCAGCCAAGGTTGAGAAATCAGCGACATATATACAGTTATTTTATCACTATTATTCAAAACAAAGATATTTTTTCACACAAAATAAAAACACAAATTAAAAAAAGAAAAAAACTAGTTGTCTTCAAGTTGATCCTGACTCATGGCTACCCCATGCTCCATGGGACTGATGTTTTCAGAAGTAAATTGCCAGGCCTCTTTCAAAGCACCTCTGGGTGGATTTGAACTGCCTGCCTCTGGTTAGCAGTGAGCACACTGACCATTTGCACCACCAAGGGACTTTGCTAAAACCAATAATTGAGGCAAATACCCTATAATACAAAATTTGAACTGGAAATAACATGAACTCTTTTACGTATGTGTCTGTATATGTGAGTTTCTCCCAGCTTTGTCCACTGCCCAGCCATACCAGAAAACAAGGGAGTTATTAAACTCCACTGGAGTCATCTTAGGGAGCTCTGGCGGCATAGTGCCTAAGGCATTTGACTGCCAACCAGAAGGCTGGAGATTCAAACCCACCAGCCACTCCTTAGAAGGAAGGTTGGGTAATCTACTTCCATAGTGATACCGCCTCAGAAACCCAAGGAGGGGTCGCTATGAGTCAGATCTGACTAGACAGCAGTGGGTTTGTTTTTTTGTTGTTGTTGTTTTGGAGTCATGTTAAAAGGTTTCAGGACATGACTTAAGGAGGCTTCTGCTGGACAAATATGGGACAATTTGAGCATCAAAAATATGATATGAAATAAAATCAAATATGTTTAAATCCTTTATTTCAAAATGATTTTAAATAATCCTTAATTATCTTTGAAAGATAAATAGGGAACCAATTTATTATTTAAAAAACTGGTATGTAAGTGGGAAAATCAGACATTCATCTTATTTTTTCTTATACAAACTGTATTTCAGAGTAATCAAATAGTTGATAAGAGGAAGTTTCTTTTTACAGAACTATTCCAGCTAATTAATGAAGAAGGAATAGAATTAGAATACTTATAAAATCTAGCTTATAGACCTAAATGATCATCAATGGCTGCTAATATTTTTTTTTTTTTTTCATAAAAAGAAAGCCAACATTCTATGCTTCCTGAAGAAATAAACAACACTGTCTATGAAATATTCTTTCTAAAGAGTTGAATGGGAGTATGAAGAAGCTTTTAGATCTATCAGTTTACAAGAAATAGAGAGGATTGGGAACATTAAATGATGCCATGAGGAACAATCAGCAAACCCAAAACTTTGGAAAATTAGACAGAGGAAAATGACCTACAATCACAAAATAAAGTAAAAATAATATAAAATCATCTTAATAGTTGAAGAAAATACTCATCCATGATTTAAAAAAGAGAAAAGAAAAAAAATCTTTCAGCAAACTATGATTAGAAGGGAATTTCCTCAATCTAATAAAGGGCATCTATGAAAAACCCAGAGTCAACATCAAACATAGTGCTGACATGTGAACCACAAAACTGGTCTCATATGGTGCCCAACTACCAGTACTAACTTTTCGACCAGGAACACAATAGAAGGTCCCAGATAGAATGGGAGAAGAATGTAGAACAAAACTCAAATTCCTTTAAAAAGGCTAGACCTACTACTGGTTTGATAGAAAGTAGAAGAACCCCTGTGTGGTAATTAAATTATCTGTCAACTTGGCTGGTCCTGGTTTTGAGTGGCCAGGTAGCTGGATGTAGTTATCCCTCATAATGAGACTGGTAATCAACTTCATGGTGGAATCTACTGTGAGCAGCTGAGTAGCTGCCTTAGGGATGTGGTCTGTTTCCAGTATATAAGAAGATGCTTTGAGAAAGATCTCTGAGCTTTTCGACACACCTGGATCCTACCTTTGGCTGAGTCTTCGTCTTAGTTGCTTGGCATGTTGTCTGCCAATCTTGAGACTGTTCTTGAACTAGTAGCCTGCTGTGTTGCTTGATAATTCTGAGACTATGCCATTTTACTTGCTGACCTTGGGTTTGTCAGCCTCAGCAGCCAGCAGATGCCTGAGTTAAGAGATGCCTCCAGATTCAGCGGGCTGGGAGCAAGAGGCAGAGCTGAAGCCTAAGGTCAAGGGCCTTTCACCTAGCCTCTAGAGCTGGCACTTTGAACTTGGACTTCTAGGCTCCTAAACTTACAGAGAATAAACTCCTGTTTGTCGAAGGCATCCACTTGTGATATTTTCTTTTGGAGTGGCACTAGAGAGCCAAAATACCCCAAGACTATTGCCCTAAGATACCCTTTGAACTTGGAATTGAAGGAATTTCTGTAGGTCATCTTTCAGCTAAATATTAGATTGGCTTATAAAATAAACAATATCAATTGTTTAAGGGAGTAATGTGCTCCAATAAACAATTAGAAATATATGAGACCAAATGGTCAACAGTTGCCCAAAAGCAAAGATGAGAAGGCAAGGAGGGAAAGGAAGCTAGATAAATGGAAACAGAACAAACAGAAAGGAAATGATAAGAATGTTAACACATTGCAAAAACCGTAACCAATGGCATGAAATAATTGACGTGAAAAATGTTCAAACCCAAACCAAATCAAATTACTGCCATCGAATTGATTCTGACTCATAGTGACCCCCATAGGGTTTCTAAGGCTGTAAATCTTTGTGGAAGCAGACTGTCTCATCTTTCTCCCATGGAGTGGCTTTGGGTCAAACCAGTAACCTTTTGGTTAGCAGCCAAATTCCTTAACCACTGCACCACCAAAGCCCCTTAAAAATTGTTAAAGGGGAACCTGATTTGCTATGTAAATTTTTACCTATAACACAGTAAAATAACATTTAGTAAAAAGAGAGACAGAGAGAGAAAAATCTAATTAACAGTGTAGAGTTCAAAGTCCATGACACAGGCCTTAATGTATGGTCATTTTTTTGGTACCATGATTACATTGCATCAAAATGAATTAGCAATGGAGCAGTGTGATTAAGAATTTAGACTTTGAATTTTCAATAACAATTGAAAAAAAAAGATTAAGTACAGTAGGAACTAGAATATGCTTTATGCAAAGTAGATGCTAATAAATATTTATGGTTTGCATGAAAGGCAAATAAGTGATTACTTCTGGGGAAAAAATGAATTTAGACTTTGGAATCAGATAAACTTAGATTTGATTCCAAGGTCCACCACACACTCACACACAAAAGACTAGTGGTGAAACTTTGGATGTTTTCCTCCTATGATTAATAACACTGCAAGGATGTGTGCTATAGCCAGTTCTATTCAACATTGTCCTGAAGGTTCTAGCTAATGCAGTCAAAAAAGAAAAAGAAATAAAACGCATAGTTTTGGAAAAGAAGAAGGAAAACTGTCACTATTCATAAATAACATGAAAACCCTAAGGGAACTGACAAAACTCGACTCAAATTAGTGAATAAAATTATCATGTTCTCAGGATAGAAATTCGACATACTGTATTCTGTGGTGGTGGCAGTGGTCACTGCCATCGAGTCAGAACCAACTGATAGTGACCCCTCCTTGGGTTTCCCAGGCAGTATCACCAAGGAAGTAGATTGTCTAGTCTTCCTTCCAAGGAGTGGCTGGTGGGTTTGAACCACCGGCCTTCTGGTTAGCAGTCAAATGCCTTAGACACCATGCCACCAGAGCTCCCTATTGTATTCTATATACTAGCAAAAATTATTGTAAAATATTATAAAGCCATACCATTTGCAATAGCATCAAATACATCAATTACCTGGGAATAAATGTAAGAAAGATGTGCAAGATATATAAGACCTCAACATCAAAAACAATAAAACATTGCTGAGATAAATTTAGAAAGGCCTAGGTAAATGAACTGGAAGAATGACCTGTTTTTTAAAGTGTGTGTTCCAGTCTTTTGTCCATTTTTTATTAGGGTATTTGTCTTTTCCTATTCATTGAGTCTTTCATGTGCCAATAAACCCAACATCAGTTAACACTGTAATGAAATAATAGTAAAAACCCACTGTTGTTCAACTAAAATTGTAAAAGACTGTTAAAAATTGTTGGTGATGATATGGAATAACAAACTGTCAGACATTGTGGGATAGGCTTGTAAAATCATAAAACCACTCAAGAAAAACCATTTTTAAGAAAACAATTTTGCAGTTTCTTTTAAATTTCTAATATACATCCTCCCTGAGCTGAGTCATAGAGCAAGTGTATGTTTAACTTCTAGGTATTCACCCAATATATGAAATCATATGTCAAAAAGCAGAGCAAAACAAAACTAAACAAGAGTTTAGTACAAGAGTATTCTTAGCAGCCTTAATTCATCACAGCCCAAAACTGGAAACAAGTCAAATGTCCATCTACAAGAAAAAGGGTAAACAAATTTTAGTTAGTGTATACAATAAAATACTACTAGCAATAAAAAGGAATGAATTACTAATAAATGCAGGAACATGGATGAGTGTCCAAAACATTTTGTTGAGTAGAAGAATGGATACAAAAAGACACCTACTATATTGATTAGGAAAAACTAATCAATGGTGATGAAAACTAGCAAGTGGCTGTTGGAGTAGTTGGGGCATTGCTCAGAGAGAGGTACAAGACAACTTTCTGGGATTAGATGATGGAAATATTCTATACTTTGAATGGGGTGGGGGTTATATGCTCATATGCAAATAGCAGAATTCATCCAACTGTAAACCTACATTTTATGGTTTATAAACTATATCTCAATAATAAATATTTTCTGCATTAAAAGGCAAGAAAGAGAAGATTAAGAGGCACATCAACTAATTGCAATACATGAATTTATTTGGATCTTGATTGTAACAAGCACTGTAAAAAAAAAGAAATGAAGGAAGTTCAAACACTGACTTGATATTAAGGATATTAAGGAATTATTGTTAATACTTTAGGTGTGATCATTATATTATAATTATGTTTTAAAAAATATGTCCTTTTTTAAAGACATACAGAAATATAGATGAAATTATATAATATTGCAGATTTACAGAAAAATAACCTAGTGAGGGAAATAGGGAATTAAATTGGCCATGAAGTGATCATTGTTAATATAAGCTGATAGGTACAATAAGGTTCATTCAACACTCTATTCTCTCTATTTTTGCATGTTTCAGTTTTCCATGGTAAAAACAAAGTTCCAAAAATATCAGATTTAGAGAATGTTAAGTTCCAATTCAGTGAAACAAGTTTTTATTGAGCATCTATTATACACCTAGTACAGTATCCATACTTGTGCCTACTTCCTTGGTCACGGTAAAATACTCAACTGATTTTTTCAGTAGTCAAAATGCAGTCCTGCAGGCTCTAATTCACTCCAAGGGAGTGGTGCAAACTTGATAAGGACAGAGTCCTTGATTCTTCACAGATTGAAGTCAGTGCTCTGACTATTCCCAGAACTGCACTTTAAAACCTAAAGCCAACATCTTCAACTACATTTAAAAGCCAATAGGTAACTTATGAAGTTTATGACTCAGTTCTGGACACATAAAATGATCTGTTTATGATGTTAGCAACACTAACATGGAACATGCCTAGCTAGCATTGAGAATTTAAGAGCACAGTGCCATAAGCAGAGCTCCTCTATGTAATGATATGCTTGTACTTTATAAATTTAGTGAAAACTACTGTCATATCTACTATGAAATAAAGAAATTAGAATGTGGAGTTAACTGTCCTTCTCTACATTATATTAATTCCAAGAACTGCACCACATTCTTCCCATCAGAGTCCATTGGTCCATTAGATAAGGAAGGTTTGGAGAGAAACTCACCTTTGAGTGATAGGAAGTGAAAGGATATGGGGTTTTCCCGAAGTCTTTTGAGGATGTAAGACAAGCATGCAACTTTGCCTCACTAAACTGTCCCAGTTTCACTAAGTTTTATCTGGTCCATTTTGAGAGTATTTCAAATCACATGGCTCTCTCTCTTTATCTCGCCCTCTCTCTTTTATTCCCCTCTCTCTATTCCATTTTAGGCCATATTAGACATTTGTTGTTGTTGTTATGTGCCATCAAGTCGGACCCGACTCATAGCGACCCCCTCCTTGGCTTTCCAAGGCAGTATCACTACGGAAGTAGGATTGCCCAACCTTCCTTCCAAGGAGTGGCTGGTGGGTTTGAACTGCCAGCCTTCTGGTTAGCAGTCAAGTGCCTTAGCTACTATGCTACCAGAGCTCCCATATTAGACATGGGGAAAAGAAAAGCTACTATCCCTGCCAGACTTTCCAATGGTCCTGAGCAGAAATCCACAGAAGCCTGGACTCCAGGTTATAGCCACATAGGAGGAAGCACAAACATTTTTGCTTTAGACTATAGGGGTCGCTCATTCTAAAGGAATAGAGATGAGGAGGGAGAATCACAGCCTGGCGAAGAATGCCCTTCTACTAATCTGCAGACCTTTTGGAGCTATCGATCCAGGACCTTCCCAGCCCCAGGACCTTCCCAGCCCCTCATAAAGCTGACGCAGGTTACTGGAAGCATTCCTCCACTCCCCATCTCCCCAAAGGGAGAATAAGACGTATTAATATTGAACCGCACCAAGTGAGCTATATCCTTGCCAACTCTAATATGTACCTTGATTCAAAGCCAGGGCAGGGGCATAAATAACAATTCCAGTATACAGAATCTAGAGGGGAGGAACAAAAGAAAAGAAAGTCATTTAAATGGTATGAATTACTACAGTAAAATATTGAGAAATAGTTTTATAAATTCAATTATGAATTAAAATGAGTTTCAATATACTTAATAGAATGTGTTTGTAACTTGAGACATGCTATTTAAATGAAGTTGACTCTCCTTTTCTGTTTGTGGCATGGTCATAGGTTATAGAAATGCCCAATTTTGTGTAAAAATGTGGACTTTTAATGTGGTGCTTGGTGCAAATGATCACTGATCCACTAACTCAAGTTTGAAACCAATTTTCGTAGATCTACAACAGTTAGAAACAGTTACAATTCAAATTCAGTTATATGTCTTCAAACTACTGTTAATCACTGCATAATATTCGAGAAAACAGCAAAATTTAGAAAGCTGGTTTTAAGTTTACAGGCCCATTATTAAGCAGAAGTGCAAATTTGTACTAAAAAATTTCCAAAAGCCACAGTAAATGTATCCCATCTTTTTGTATACTATTAGTTTTTATTCATGCATTTAACAAAGAGTTATTGATTAGGGGTACAATAGTGAACAAGAGAAACAAGCCTTTTTCTCAGAATATCATTTTCATTTCATTTCATTTCATTTTTCAAATGGATCACATACAAGGCAGTTCTAGTGTTATTCTATAAAAAAAGAATCGTATGCTATTTGAATTTTTGATTTTATTATGTGGGTAGGTCCATGGAAGGAAAGAAATCCTTCAAAGGGAGGTGCTAAAGTGCCCCTCTTTTTACAAAAAATAAACTAGCTTTCCACAGCTATTATTCTGTCCAAGTTGAAAGTTTGAAAACATGACCATATGTCACTTCCTAATGCTTGTCCCCACTCTCTTTCTCACAAAGATCCAGAGAGGGTCTGAAGAGTCGGCAAATTTAAGCTAGCAGCCTCGGCTCTGTGTCAGATTCCCTGCCAGACCATCATGGGCTCCTCCTTCCTTTCACACTGAATTTGTTAGGGATGATTAGGGATGAGAAAGAAAACCCCTTCCTCAATCTCCATTTTCTTACCCAGCCATAAAGTACTTAACTGCCAAGAAGACAGACAGATAACAGACAGCTATGATGTGAGAATGAACACAATGAGACTCCAGTAGCCTGGATGAAGGGTGGGAAGCATTCTGTCACTAACCTCTTGCCAAATGCTTCATTTCCATTCATGTTAGTCAGTAAACCTATACTTGCATATTTTTGAAATACTAGGTTTTGTATTTGGCTTTAAATAAACTCTTTCTGAGTTCCTAAGTCTGTGGCTTTACACTCTGTCAGTTTCAACTGGGGCTGAGGCTAGAACTCAGTTTTTAAAAGAGAGCAAATTCCTAATATCGTTACTGGGGAGCCTGCAGTTCCCTCAGATACCCCTGTCATGTCAGTAATACCCTACTGTCATTCTGGTGGAATACAGGAAGAACATTTTCCAAAAGCAACATCCTGTTGCTTGATCAATACAATATTTAAGTTTCACTGAAGTTATTCTGATTTTCAGGAAGTGAAGTATGTGCTGAACATTGTTTAATGATTTGGAAGCTCTGGTTGAAAAGTGTTTTTCCTTCTTTTGCTTCCTCATATTTTCAACATCTCTTTTCTGTTTTTCATGTATTTTCCATGTAAGCTTAGCCCAGGTACGTGGTTAAAAACATTTTAGATGGCCAAAGATTAATTAATGGAGAGCTACTTACTGTTTGAACAATGAAGAGAATAGTTCCACAGAGACGAATGAATTTGTTAAATCGAAGTTCTAAATACTGTTTCCAAAGAAGAAAAAAATGGTTAATGTGTGTAACCTCTGTGTATGTTTGTCTACAATTAATAGCTTAAGAAGTAAAACCAAAACCAAAGCTGTTGCCATAGAGTCCATTCTGACTCATGGTGACCCCATGTGTACAGAGTACAACTGCTCCATTGGTTTTCTTGACTGTAATCTTTACAGAATCAGATTGCTA